CTTCTCAGATGGAAGCAAGACCTTTGAACCTCTTCCTTGAACACCCCACCCCCATATGCTGTGTTCACCTGCTCCTTGGAGTGTGCAGCCTCTGAGGCCTTCTCCCACCACCCACGGGCTTCCTGGTCAACTTCACTGGTTTCATTTTTCACATCCTGAGCTATTGAAGATTTCCCAGAGGCCTTATTAAATGCTCTTTTCAAAGCTGCTCATTTATCACTGTCGAGGTGGCAAGCCAACCTGAGAGGAGCCGTCTCTTGGTCTCTGATCTTGAGAGCCCTAGCAGAGTCCAGTCCTGAATCCTCAATTTTGTCTAACACTGTTGTGCCGTGTCTCTGCAAAAATTTCCCTTCATTCTTCAGTCCCCAGGAAGAAAGCTCCCTTCCACACTCCACCCCACCCCCACCCTCAGCTACTTTATACAAACTCCCCACGCTCCGGCACTGACCAGATCACAGCAGGAAGCAGCCTGGACTCCAGCTGTGCATTCTAAGAGGAAGGAAACCACTGTCCTGCTTCCAGCCTGTCCGCTTTTATTAAATGGCTCTAGCAAAAACAAAATCTAGGGGAACAAAAAGCTATTCCTATGCCAGTTGATTTGACCTGTGCAGGGAGCACAGATATAACCTCTCACTTGGGAGGTGGGGCCTGCAGAACATCAGAGTTCTCCTGAGAAGCCCCGGGCTCCTCAGTCAAGCAAGGGTTCACTGAAGAACAGAAAAGATGGACCTTGTGAAATTCCACACTTGCTATATCTCTGCCTGAGCACCATAGTGTCCCTGTGAGCCCTGATTAATTTGGCCAAACTCAGACTCATTCTCCTACATCTTCAGCTTTGACAACTTTTTTTTTTTTTTTTTTTTGAAGAACATGGATCCTTGCAACACTAACTCAGCAAACAGGAGCTGGTGTTGCAGAAGGAGGGGCCCCTGGGGCAGATGTCTCTCCTCTCCTCTCCTGACCCCTCCCATCCCGTCCCCTCCTCGTTTTCTTCCCCATCCCTAAGATAGGTCTCACATTGTAGCCCAAACTGGGCTGGAGATTATTTATAGCCCAGGCTGGTTTCTGTAATCCTTCTGCCTCAGCCTTCTGAATTCCTGAATGCTAGGATTATAGGTGTGAGCTATCCTGCCTGGCTCCTCTCTGTGCTGTGATGGGGCCTAGGGCCTTGGCCATCCATGCAAGTGTACTTGTGGACCACAGGATGTAAAAGTCCAGTATAGCTGACTACAAGTGAGAGCGGTCAACCAGAGGCACATGGAGTATAGGTTGGGATGAGTAGAAAGACTGCTCATATTCCTATGAGTGGCTAGGCTCCACTCCATAGGCACAGCTCAGCGCCCTGAACGGCGGTGCTGTGGGGCTCTGAAAGCTCCTTGGTGGAGCTGACTGCAGCTGTGTTCTCTGCTCCCCAAGGAGATTCAGTCATTGCAGCATGACTCGTTATCATTAGAGCAGATTTACTGCAGGGAGCAATATTTACCTTTAAAAATAAAACGGCGAGGAGGGATTTGTTGCCTGTCACTTAATAGATTAATGTTCACAAGGCTCCTGATTGCAACCTTCCTTTGCAGACAGATACACAGCTCAGGGCCTGACTATGCTCAGGGTGGTAGCCCTGTTGGGAGGAGACTCTCATGTGTGACACACGGTGGGTCAGGGTAATCCTCCTGGTCTGTAAGCTTTATCATAACTTGACAATACATGCTCATTTCTACATTGTCTACAACAGACAGAGAGAAGTAGTTGGAGCAGAAACCGCAAGGCCTCCCTGCGTGGCCCCAAGAATTACAGGACTTTGTTGATTTCCAGCATATAGGACTCATTCCCCACTACAAGTGACACTGTTTCTTAGAGTCAGTACATAGACCTATAGTGAGAGTTTCTGAGTTAACATAAGTTTAAACTCAAGGATTCAATGAGCCCGTCGGTTCACAGCACTACACCAAAATGTCAGTAATGAGTACTTAACTGGATACCGAGTTCCTTGAAACAGAAAGGGAGTACGATTTCCCTCACTGTGTGTGCTGAACACATAGTCCTAGATCCCAGCTAGTTACTACCATCTGATTATGCAATGCTTAGTGCTTAGGACCACACACATATATTAATGAGCTAATTAAGCGTTCAGATTTTCCAACACCAGTAAATTTTGACTGATCATCAGGAGCTCTTTGCTTTATGCTTTTATGCTCAAATAGTGAGGAGAGACCCACCTGCACCCTACATGGCATTACGTGTGACAAAAGAAATTCCCCACAGTGAAATGTGGGACCTTACAAAGTGTTCCTGACAGAGCATCTGCATTGGAGAAGTCACATCAGGGAAGCTGTCACAATCAGACCTGTTCTTTTGCTGTTAGTTGCTCTTTAAGAGGCCTAGCAAGGTTGTTTTGTCATCCTCTGGCTTCACTCCTATGCAATGGCTTTGGACAGGGAAGTGTCTGACCTAATGAGAAGCCAGGAGAGTCATCTACAGACTCCAAATGCTGCTGGATGGGATTCTAGAGCGTGGGCCATCTCCTCCACTGTCAGAGGGTTGCTCATTGCTAACCATGGCTTGATAAGGAGCAGGTGGCTTGTCAGGCACACAGAGATCTCAGCACGAAACCAAGTAGTGTTGTCTTTTCCCCAGCAACAGAAAAGAAAGAACTCAGGTTCCACCCCCACTGCTGGACCTGGGTCTGGGTCTGGGTGCCAGGCTGGGCACACTGGGCTGTTAACCAACCAGTAGTTAGTGCAGTGGCCACTTCTACTGAAGGTTTAAAATCATTTTATAAATAAACTTGTTTTTAAAGATTTTATTTGTGTCTGTGTATACCACATGCGTAGGTGCCTGTGGAAGCCAGAAGAGGGTGTCAGGTCCCCAGAGCTGGAGTTACTTGCAATTGTGAGCTGCCTGACATGGGTGCAGGAAACCAGACTCATGTCTTCAGAAGAGCAGCAAGTGCTCTTAACTGCTTAGCTATCTCGTCAGCCACACTGATCAGTCAGCCTTTAAAGATGTAGGTGCCCAAACACTCTGCAGGCTTCAGGACAAAGTCACAGGTGCTTTCTGTGACTGTACTAAGGGATTGTCACCCTCTACCTTGGGCATCCCATTCAATGGCTCTTCCAAATGCTACATTGATTTTGGCCCCTTAGGCCCACTGAAATTTCCGGTTGGCTAGACACTTGAGGAATTGTTAGGATTCTTCTGTGGCCCAATGTTTTTGCCTTTTGTAAATTAACTCAAGAGAATGGAATTGAGGTGCAACCAAGAAAATATCTGCGACCAGATGGAAGAAAACTGGTGACTGAGACACAGCCATGAGTGGCCATGGTCAGCTAGTGATGCTTTCTGGGCTGGGTACATTCACCAAGGCTGTTCATTGTAGGCCTTTTTTCACTACACTCTCTGTGATAGTTACCCCTGATTAGCAACTTGACAGGATCTAGATCCACAGGGAAACCTCACCTCTGGCATGTCTGTATGAGTTTCTAGACTAGGTTACTTGAAATGGAAAGGCCCATCTTGAGTGTGGACGGTTCCTTTTAAAAAGAGGAAAGCGAGCTGAACGTCACTCCTTATCACTCTCTGCTTCCTTACTGAGGATGCAATGTGACCAGTTGCCTCATGCTGCTGAAGCCATCCCTTCTCCATCACAAGTGACAGGACTTGCTCCTCCTTTGAGTTGCTTTATCAGGTATTTTGTAATAACAATAAGGAAAGTAACCTATACACCATCCTTATAACTCACAGGGCTTTAAATGTCTCAGTTTTGCCTATTTGGGTCCATGAAGACCTTTGATGTCAAACTGTCAAGGCTATATGTGTTCTGGAGGCTTCCCCATGTTGACACGGCTTCACAATGATGAACAGACCCACTTCCTCCATAGACCTCCAGGGATGAGGGTGACTTTCAGAACAACGTTTAACAATGTGCAGCACACTGATGATTCACATGGAGTCCTCTGAGGACCTTCATCTACACACATGGTTATAGGGGCCACCACTCTAAACACACTGGATATGAAAACTAAGAATGCATTATGGTTTGGGTATACTCTGGTCTCTGGGATGTATGTGCTGAGAGCTGAGTCCCTACATAGTGTAGTGGCATCATCGAGGGATGCTGATGTCATTCATGGAATAATCCATCGACAAATTCATAGCCAGATGCATCAAGTAGTAGGTGTGGGCTGGTTGGAGGAACTGGTTCTCTAGAGGCATGTCACTGAAGGGTGCATCTCACCAGGGTGCCACTCCATCCCTCAGCTCCTCCATAAGGTGGCCAGTTCTGCTCTGCCACACACCACTGTGTTTCTGTTTCCCCATGAGCCTAGAAATGAAGGGACCAGCTAACCATGGAGAGAAAGTTTTGAAATCCTGAGCCCAGAGGAGCTCATTCCTGGTTAAGATGTTTTACAAGATGCTTTGTCATAGTTAAGTGCATTATGCTTGTGTGTGTGTGTGTGTGTGTGTGTGTGTGTGTGTGTGTGTGTATGTGGTGGGTGTGTGTGCTTGTCTGTATACATACATATGGGGGTCAGAGGTTGAGGTTAGTTGTTTTTTTTTTTTTTTTTTTTTTTTTTTCTTCCTTCTTCTTCTTTTGAGTCAGGCTCTCTTGCTGAACCTAGAGCACTCCATTTCAGCTAGACTGGCTAGCCCAGGAGTCGTCACACTCTGCCTGCTTCCATGCCCAGTGTTGGGATATAGACACACATTGCTACACTTGTCTTTTTCGCAGGTGTGGCAGTCCTGACTTAATCCTCACGTTTGCATTGCAAGTACCTTACACATTAAACCCATCTCCCCCCCCCCACCATGGTTCATTTGTTTTTAAAAATGAGGATCCTCTATCTGAAAAAGAAACAATGATTTTATATAATCAGATACTTTGGTGCATTTATCTAAAATGTAAGCACACACAGACACACCCAAGATGTTCAGTGATAAACAGTTTAGAAAACATAAACTTAGTAAAGACAAAATAGGGCTGCCGAGCCTGGCTTGCTTACCAGTTGCTGGCCTTTTGGGCCCCACCCTGCATACTGAAGCTTTGCATTGCTGACTTCTGGTGGGTCTAGACTCTGCGGGTCCCTGAGGAAATAGACAAACAGAAACAAAGCACAATGTTGGGAGCCAAGAATATACTGTGTCCACTTATCCTCTGATGGAGCCTTACTCTTTCCGTTTCTTAGTTATTGAACAATATGTCTCACTCAGCTTCCACAGGCTTTCTGCAGATGTACATAATTTATGTGAAGCTGAAACACGTCCACTGCTACTTAATCCAAATGGTAAATATTCATCAGGAGAAAACATGCAGAGAACTATATAGATCAATTTTTAAAATGTCCAGGGCAGTTAAAATTAAACGAAACCCACAGCCAAGCAGCAATAAATCCCACGCCCGATGTCTTCATCGTTGGCTCTCCTCACAGATAATTCTTTTCTAAGTATGAAGCCAGGTCATGCTGACCTTCCAAAGCCAGTGGCCTCAGGATAAATTGTATTCTCTCACAGATACAGAGAATGAGAAAGGGAGAGGACTCAGGAGGGAGAGAGGGGGAAGAACTAAAAGATGTTTTTCCTGTCCAACATTTTTTACCTTTTTCATTCCTTTTTATTTTGGGTACTTTCCAATTGTGTCTACATGGGAGCCAGCTTGTAGATACGCACACGTGTAAAGTGTGTATGTATGTATACATGCTCAGGTGCATGCACACATATGCATGTGGGAGCCAAAGGTTGATGTTGGATGTCTTTCTCAGTCTCCATCCTAGTTTTTGAGTCAGGGTCTCAGTAAGCCCAAACCTTGCCAATTTGGCTAGCCTGGCTGGCATTTAACCTCTAGGGATCCTGTCATCCCAATGCTGGGATCGCAGGTACATGTAGTTAGTTTTCACATGGGTGCTGTATATACAAATTCCTTAATTTTCATTCTTAATTTACAGAGATGGGAAATACCTTAACAAATACTGCCTACATATTCAAATGTCCTAATAAGTAAAAGCCATGGTAAAGCACCATGAAGACTCCACAGGTAGAAAGAACAGTCATCATGGTTTTTTGAGGGTACCATCTCACCTGCAGAATGGCTTCTACATTCTGGGGGAGCAGGTTGGCCAGGGGAGCACCTGCACTGATGTCATAGCTCCTACACTGAAGGCAGAGCCATCAAAGCATTTGCTCATGAAGAGAGAGGATAGGCAAATTGCCACCTATCCCCTGTGGGAAAGAAGTCACTGAGTTTTAGAGACTTCACAAAGGGGGAAAGGGCGAGAGAGAAGAAATATGAACCAGGCCTTTAAGTGATCAGGGCTTCAAACACACAAAACAATCTAGAATAATTTGGACAACACTGAAAGAATCAAGACAGACAAAACAGGAAGGAATAGAGACGGAGAGATGGAGAGGTGAGATTTCCCAGTGCCTCAGGCAGATGTGAAGACAGGCGAAAAGAAGTCAGATATGGGGTGTGGCAGCTGGGAAGTAGAGAAGCTAGGAGAGATGGGGGGGTCTGGACATTGCATATCACAGATGGGTTTTTAATAAACTTCAATCCCCCCCCCCGTGTGTGTGTGTGTGTGTGTGTGTGTGTGTGTTTGCGTGTGCACGCGCGCCCATGTGCGTGCATGCACAGAAGCCAGAGGAGGGCATTGGATCCCCTGGAGTTTGAGTCACTAGTAGCTGTGGGCTTCTATAGAACCATACTCTGGCCCCCTAAAGAGGAGCCTGTGCTCTTAATTTCACTCACTGCTCTGGCATCTCTCCAGCCCAGAGAGTAGGTTTTATATGGAAAACCATTATAAAAAAGGCTGTGTGAGGTGATGGGTATGCTAGTGAGTTTAAGTAATCAGTCTGCAGTGTACTCACAAATCAAAAAATCATCTAAATATCCTAAAACACATATTTACTGTTTGTTAGTTTAACCCGTCTGTCTCCTCTAAAATACTATGCTATACAACAAGTATAATGAGGCCATGAAAAAGAACAAAGTTTTCCATAAACTACAATGGAGTGATTCGTGATGGCTGACAAAAGTCTCAGGAGAGTATTGCAGTCTACTAGCTGTAATGTCTTATAGGAATTTAAGAACATATACAGGCATGAAGCCATTTATAAAAAAGAAGCACATGCATCTGAAGCCAATCAGGCTGGTGAGCCATGGGGCTGGGTGGGACTGGCGGAAGGAAGCCTGGGGTGAAGGAGAGTGGCATTTCTTGGAGCTCATGGTTTTGAACCAAATCAACTGAGACACAGGTGTCCCCTCAGAAAGTGGAGGCATGACCTCCTTCATCTAAGAATGCTGTGAAAACCAAGAGCCTCTTAACATCTCATACTCATTTAACTCAATCCAGTGACTCCCCAAAATGAGTTGCCTATTGGGGTTGCAGCAATCCATCCAGGAATTCCTCAAGGGGAGGAAGCCAGGAAGTGGTGGTATCCCATCATTAACAGCACAGAGCTTGAGCTGATAGAGTAACAGCCCACACACCTTTTCCTCAAGTGTGAATTGGGAATATTAATGCTCACCTGATGGATAACATCCAGCAATACATTGTACGTGGGGCCAGGCAGCACTGGGCTCCTGTGGCCATGTTCCACAGATGCCAGCTTAATCCTTGATAAACTGACAGGTAATTAATTTGGCCATGCATTATAATGCACATGTGTGTCCTTAGCTGTTCATTTAATTAGTTGGACCAGTGGGTTGAGTACTGATAAAGTGTTATTGTAATGACTATCTATAAAAAGTTGTTAAAATGGCCAATCATTTATCAGACATAAAGACATGTATGCTCTGTGGGACTCAGCAGTGAGAGCAAATCAGTGACTCCCTAAGGGCGCAGGTGACAGGAAACTGGGCTTAGGGTCACCACCCCATCACCCACACTTGCTACGAAGAATTAAATCTCTAATTTTACACTGGATTCCATGGCAACAGATGGTTTTTCTTTCTAGTGAAAAGAAGTCTTTAGGGTGACACACTCAATGCCCCTCCACTGTGTCCTTGATTAGTGAATATTCTGCATGATGATGGTCTTTATACAGTCTTATCCTGCCCAGCCTTACAAACACAAGGTTTCCACTGAATCTGTCCCAAGCATCCACATAATGGACCATGGAGGACCACTGAAGAGCTTTATGGAACTACTGTGTGTGTGTGTGTGTGTGTGTGTGTGTGTGTGTGTGTGTGAGAGAGAGAGAGAGAGAGAGAGAGAGAGAGAGAGAGAGAGAGAGAGAGAGAGACTCAGTTGGCCACTGACCATTGTCATAGCCTTCTGGTGAGTCCTGAATTCTCAGTTTCATTCCACTCCATCTCTGTCTTCTCTGGGTATGGCAGGCAGATGGCCCTGTGCTCACCTCCAGGAAAAACCTACCACTCTTCTGTGTAAGCTGAGGGCAGGGTGCTGCACCCAAACAGGACTCTTCTGCTAAGCAGGTGGGCAGAATACAAGGTCAGATGCACCTGCGTCTGAGGTTCCCAGTGCCTAGTCCTAGTCCTGTTCCTCACCTGGGTCCCTTGGCAGCTAAGACACATGGTATGGCCTGGAGACTCTTTCTCCACAGCCTTCTGGTTCCACCTTTTTCTTTACAGACAACATCCCCGAACCCCCTGCCTTCTCACTCTCAGCGTATTGAAGACCCCACTGGCTTTTCAGGACGGCACACCTTCTCAAGACATATCATCAGTCCCTCAGCATCAGGACAGCAACCTTTTTTTTTTTTTGTCTGAAGAATGCATCAATCTCCAAGGCTCCAGCCTGGAGCCAGGACTATTCTATTTTCCTTTGCACTTCGTTTCTGGGAAAACTTTATTATTACTGTGCTTTAAATCATTCTAAGTGCTCACAAGAAATGACAATAATGTGCCCACATTATTAATATCTTGTCTACATTTTTATATTTGTCATTATCAATTTATGCTACCTCTCACTGAATCCCATGGTTGACTCTGGGGCTTGTTGGCTACTGTGTGTGTCCTGTGGGTTTAGACAAGTACATTCTGCCTCACATCACTGTGTCAGCATCACAGGGAGTTTCACTGACTGCTCCTGTCTTTTCAGCTCCTGGTTCTGCCTGATCTAGAAGGTCCAACAACTGCAGTCTCTTTAGACTGGCCTCTTCTTTGAAGATGATGAGCTCAAGCTCTTAGGTTTGGTCTGTTTCCAGGACTACACTCACTCTCACGGCCCTCTCTCTTCATGTTCCTAACCATCCAGAGTCCCTGAACCAACTAGACAAGACAGTGCATGGAAGCACTTCATCTGACCAGGACCCACCCACATCGAAGCTTTGCTGGTCTTCTTATCCACACACTTTTCTGTAAATGTTCCCCCATCATGGTTAACTGGGGCTGAGGAGATACCTCAGTTGGTAAAGTGCCTGATGCATAAGTCTGAGTACCTGAGTCCAGCTCCCCAGCATCTATGTAGAAGTGGGGTGTGGAGGCACCTATCTGTGCTTCAATCATCAGGGAGGAAGGAACAAGAGGATCTCTGGGGCTTGTTGGCTAGCCAGTGAGGTGCAGGTTCAGTGTGAGACTGACTCAAAACGACACAAAACTCGAGAGGATTTAGGTCCCTTTGTCACACAGTAGACTGCAGCAGTAACCTCTGATGTATACCCAAGGTATCACTTGTGCATCTAACTTGTGGCCTATGGGCCTCATGCAAGCAGGGGCAGCTATGAATATAGTCCAACATAGAATTCATAAACTTACTTAAAACATTATTAACATTTATTTATATTGTGTTTTATAGCTTGATTATTTGGTTGAGTATGGACTTTATAGATGACAATGATAACATCATGTCCTAGTGTTAAAATATTGGGCATGCCTGTCAGTCCAGCCCACGGTCTCTACCTTGTACTGGGTTATTCTTAAGTTCTTAGTGTATATGCATGAGGGAAGGGACACAAAGGGACTTGCTGATTAATTTGGGGGCTGTCTAGTGCCCTCCCCCACCCCTCCTACTTTATCTTTCTTTACTCATTTATTCTAAAGAATGTGTATCGGGCTCTGTGATGAATCATCTCTGGGTAGAGATGGATTGCTGAAAAAATGATTAAGGAAGAATAAAATGATCTGG